CCGCTCTTCTACATCTTCCTTTTAGGCACGTCCGGAGGACTATCCTAGAGACCTCCTCGCCCACCAGGTGCCCATCTCTTTCCACAAACACTGGAACATTGAGCCTGTTGCCGTTTTCAACAAATGGCTGAAGGACGACTGGAGCTCCAAACCTTCAGCTGGACTAAATAAGAGCCTGAAGACGGAGTTATGAGGATGTCAAGCACATGGATGAGCTCACTGAAAGTGTGTGTGTGTGTGTGCGTGTGTGTGTGTGTTTTTTATTATGGATTATTATTATTATGGTACTTACAGATTTAAATGTGATGTTGAAGTTGGGAACGTTACTGAGAGTCTCTGGTCACTTTGTCCTCACGGCCTCTGGTGGCCCACATCTGATCTTCACAGTCGAGGCCACGTTTCCACTAATCCTGAACCAAACGGGTCTAAAAAGACGAAGCCCACATTCCTAGCACTAAATGTGCAACAGGTAAGACGAGAAAAAAATTGGTGTTACCTAAAAAGACAACCTAAAAAAATTAGATACGAGATTTCTCTCACGTTTGAGATACCTGAATCAGAAACATCTAGAGGACCTTGTTACCAAGTGGGCTCCAAATGAACTTAAGAAACACTAACGACATGGCCCACTTTCTGGATACTGGGTGGGTCATTTTCTTTGTCTGTGGTTGTGTTGGTTCTATCTTCTGGATTTCATGTTACAGCCCACTTTCTAGAAGCCACACTTCATTTGGTCAGACCTTTTTTTTTTTAGCTAATAATTTGCTAATACCAAATAACTTGCAACAAAAAGTCCCTTAATGAAGTGTTAGCTCCTCAGCTACTGTATCTACTGTGCTGCTAACTTGAGAAGAGACATTTTCAGTGCTACGTACTGTGTGGTGTTTCGTGGTGTTTCATCTTACAGTGAGTCTTGCTCCTGTTTTTGTTCCTGATGTTAAAATAACCCCTGTGTTGTTGTTGACTGTCCCTAAATAAAGAACCTGTGAGGACAGGGAGACGGTGAACTGCTGTACTGTAGGAAAACAAATGGCCGAGCAGTGCACAGCTGGTAGTGGTGAAAAATAATTCTGCTAGAGCGTCACATTTTCAAGTATGAGTTCTTGAGTTCGGTACAGTATTACTCTGATACTTTTACCAGCACTGGCATCAGTACACCCCTGGTACTACTGATACAGAGTAGTAGCAGTAGCAGTGGCACAGCTCGGTGGGAAGCGCGGTGACGTGCAGTGTGTGTGCTCAACCCAAACCACAGCGTGGACACAATTACCACAGACTTCAAAGCTCCTTCTAACTAGGACGTCCTCGGTGGTAAATTTACATTTAAAAGGTGTTCATTTAAATTGCAGGCCGAGGCGTTGGACTTTAAATGGACAGGTTGAGGTGAATACCTGATCGACGACACTTTGAAGGTCACGTTTCTGCAACGTATTACCGTCAGTAACACACAATCAGTTAAATGACTCAATCAATACAGATATTAGTCTGTCGTTAAAGTACAGCACCAATAGCGATTAAACAAACCAGAGCGTTTCCTCTCTGCCATCTGCTTAAATTAAGGAAAAAAGCAGATCAAATAAACTTTATATCCTCACAGCCATAACACTCAGGAGTGTAGACCAGAATTATAATGTACATGCACTGCAGCAAACGTCACATGTACTGGGAATTATATATTGTCGTATATATATCTATGAAAAAAAAAAAGGAAACGTGTGTGAGCAGAGTTTCATGTCAGGAGAACAACACAGTTCTGTGTTTATTCAGACCGCACTACGAGAGCGTGGAGCCTTGTTTTGTTGCCTTTTTGGGGGACGAGCTGTCCAATATTTAAATGCAGTCTTCTGAGATGTATTTGAATTCACTGCATATTCTGTGACAAAGAAACACAGTTTGTTTTTCTCTTGACAGTGAACAAGAACACAGCCAGCAGGGTCAGAGGTAGAACTGACGAAAAACTTACATCATGTACAATCAGTTTGGCTGGTTTTTCCTCAGCAGAGATTTAATGATCCTGTCAGTTTGATCTGGTCTTTATAAACCGAGCTACGGTGGATGAGAGCAGACGTCAGACTTCACACTGACCGCTCCACCGGCTGCTCTCTCACTTTAGTCTTTGAATGAAGGCGTTGGGCTGAATGACAAATTAGGTACATGTTTTTCTTAAGTCTGTCTGATGAGTTATTTATTATGAATATGTTTCAAGGTTGTTTAAAAATCTGGCCCATAAAAGTTGGTTAAAGAATTGATGAAGATACAAGATACATTGTTAAAGCTAGGTTAAAGACAAATGTTCGAGAAGAAGTCTACCGTCAAGCCAGTAATCCTCATGCTATAGTACTCTGTGAGGAAGTCAAGAGTGGCAGTGAAGTAAATGATGGCGGTGCAGAACGTGTATGTGGTTGATCTCTTGTCAGCGACCTGGAACAGCTGGTCAGATGCTCACTCCTCAACATTCATTGGTCAGATGCTTTCCCCTCTCAGAGGCTGTGGAGGAGTTCTTACTGTACACCCTGAAAAGGTTACAAAGAGACAAACAACCACACATTCACACTGACATTTACAAATGAAGCTACTGTCACGCACACACATCCTCTGTGTGGGCATTGGAATTATGGGATATATACGGTGCGAGGGAACATTTTCAATCTGATTGGTCACGACAACTGACATCATAAAATTTTCTACTGATATTTATGTAAAACTTATATAAAATGTATCATTCATATGTAACGATTGATCGCGATAAAGCGTGTGTTTTCCTGCGACTTGTGAGGCTGAACCAAAGTGACACCTACCGTAGCTGCTCTCCTACAGGTCACTGCTGTGCTCAGGAAAAACTCTCACGTTTTGCTGTTGTGCTTCTATATGGTTGAAGGGCTTGAAAAATAGAAAGAATCCTGAAAAGAAAGTCAGTGTTGGAGCTGAGGTGGTGGAGAGAACTGTGACCTTTTGCCCCCATGAAAGAATGCAGGATTCCATGTTTCATCTACCTCAACTTAATAAAATCTTTGAGGACAGTTTCTCCTCACTTGTGCCCAGAACAGCTGAATATATTAAACACTGCTGTTGTGTTCTCCGTGAATGATTAATCATCTTTGCATAGCCTCGGTGAAATGTCTCTTTAGTCAAATCAAGGTTGAAAATCTCTTTATATCTTTATTATAATTTGAAGCCAATCAGGGTTTTCTTCTATTAGCCTGAAGAGGAGATTTTGAGATATTTTTTTAAGTATTAGTACCTTGATCAACATCAGGAAGAAACGGCAGTTATGATGTTATTGATTATTAATCTTTAACATTAACATTAATGGGTCAAAGCTCTGACTCAGGAGTTTTCACAGTCACTCCCTGACTCGGCACAAATCAAGAAATAATTGGAAATGTAATTGTTTTCATTCTTTTAGAAATGATTCTGTGTTTTCACTCAATTTCATTTCGTCTTCAATGATCAGTTGTTTTTTATAGAGAGAATGGCAATCTATCCATCCATCCATTCATCCATCTACTCCCTTTCTGTACATCTTATACTACTATCTCTTATACTACACACTAATCTGTCAGATTTCATGCATTATAGTAAACACAACTGATCAGCAGTTTCCTTGTCTCTCTGTCTGTTGATATGTCTGTGCTGTTGTCATGCAACAATGAACTGTGTTTGTGTTTTATCATTGTACTTCTTTTAATTATGAGAAGCCGAATTGAAATTCAACATAGCAGAAATCCATATCCGTTTTATGAGCTATGGTGATTTTTTAACAGCCCCCCCC